CCCCCCCCCCCCCCCCATATACGCGTAGTCATGATGACAAAAGAATTTATTCACACGAGGCAAGATTATTTGCTTTCTTACCATTATGAAATAACGTGCAGAGATCGCAAGATATGTTTCTGATGTCCCACCAGCTCATTACACGGTCAAGATCGAGTCGTTTTCATTGTTAGCCAAGAACTGTGTGGATAGGTTTGAATCCGGGGAGTTTGAGGCAGGTGGATACAAATGGTAAACGATATATGTTAGCCTCTTTTATCTTCTTAAATTCGAGCTTGAATTGCTCTGTGCATTGTCCTTACATGGAATGCGGTTGCAGGAAATTGGTAGTCCACCCACTTGGAAACAAAAGTAAAAATGGGAACGACCACATCTCTCTCTATTTGGCGATTGCAGGGACAGACTCCCTACAAACAAATCGGGAAGTGTTCATAGTTTATCGACTTTTTTTGCTTGATCAGAACAACGATAACTACCTCACAGTTGAAGGTATATCTTCTGTCGCCTTGAAGAAATGAGGTGTCTATAATACTAATACTAACAATAATATCTGAATGTGAAGATGGCAAGATGAAGCCTAGGCGGTTTCGAGGAATGAAGAAAGAATGGGGTTTTGATAAATACATTAGCCTCAAAGAATTCAACGAGTCCTCAAATGGGTATCTGGTGGACGATACGTGTGTGTTTGGAGCTGAGGTCTTTGTTTGCAAAGAAAATTTCAAAGGCGGCAAAGGGGAGTGTTTGTCAATGGTAAGGAGTCCCATCATTCACAAGCATATTTGGAAGATTGACAACTTCTCCAAGCTGGATGCCGAGTGCCACGAGTCCAGAATCTTCAACGCGGGGGATCAAAAATGGTAGCCATCTTCCTTCCATGGACATTCCAATAATTAACTCATCAGGTTTGAACCCAACCCACTCATACGTACCCCGTCATTGCAGGAAACTTCGAGTGTATCCAAATGGAAGAGGCAGTGGCGAAGGCCATCTTTCATTTTTTCTGGCACTGGCAGACCCCACAACGCTACATCCTGCTACCAAAATATATGCAGAGGTAACGTTGCGCCTGCAAGATCAGGAGCATTCGAAGCATCATTCTGGAAAAGGTAGTGTGTACATTATGGTCAAATACAAACAATTCAGTTCCATCACAATGAAAGATTTTTCCTGTTTTGGTGTTGGCAGTTTCATACTGGTTTACTGCATCCAACCCAGAAGTTGGAGGGCTTAGATTCATTCTCTTAAGCAAGTTCCGGCAACCAAACATGGGTTTTCTGTTGAAGGACGTTTGCATTGTGGAGGCAGAGGTCAATGTCCTTGGAGTGGCCAATGCGCTCTCTTGAGCCTCCCC